CTGTCTCAAAAATAAATAAACGTTAAAAAAAAGTTTAAAAAAAACAACTGGCATATCAGGTATAGCTATTTATGTAGATCTATTTTTAAACTATATGAAGTTACTCTTTTTATTGCTCAGTAATGGCCAAATATGAAAAATCAAATGTATTCAAAATAACACAAAAGACTGATAGACATGTGCATAAAATAATATAGATAGATACAGAGGGAGATAGGGAAAAAAGTCTCACTGACAGGGATCAAATGATACTTAACATTTTCTTTATTATGTATAATTTTGTATTATTTTTGTCTGCAAAGCTAATGTTTATGCTTTTCATTATTTGAAACTATAAACATAGTGCTCTAGATCCTTTCAGAAGGACAATTAGCTTATTTAGAGAACATATGCCAATTTGGAAATCCATATCAGCGGCTCTGTATATCCCCCAAATACCATTTAGTAGATTCTTTTTTTTTTTCTTTTTCAGGAAATGATTACTTAAAAGATTGTTTGTCAAAGTATTGGATCTCTTAGTAAAAACAGAACAAATGAAGTGTGGGGGAGTTGTTAAATAAATCTGGTAGTCCATTCAGAGAATATGGCGTAGGTATTAAAATTATTTTTGTAATAATTGTATACTAGTGAAAAAAGACAGATTTGGTATACACACACCAAAATGTTAGCACTTAACTGAGGATGGTGAGATTAGTGGTCGATTATTTTTCTTCATTACCTGTCTTTAAACTTTTTTCTGTCATGAGTATATATTTTATCATAGGTAAAGGGGAATCTTTTTTTTTTTTTTTTTTAATTTTTTTTTTTAATTTTTTTTTTTTCAACGTTTATTTATTTTTGGGACAGAGAGAGACAGAGCATGAACAGGGGAGGGGCAGAGAGAGAGGGAGACACAGAATCGGAAACAGGCTCCAGGCTCTGAGCCATCAGCCCAGAGCCCGACGCGGGGCTCGAACTCAGGACCGCGAGATCGTGACCTGGCTGAAGTCGGACGCTTAACCGACTGCGCCACCCAGGCGCCCCAAGGGGAATCTTAAAAGAACAATATTTTTTAAAGTGAAAAAAATTATTTGCCCCATTTCCTGTTCCACCAATAATAAATGAGGCCTGTATAAACTGAAGATGACAATTCTCTGCCAGCTTAAGCGACTGGATGAGGAAGATGAGCCAAAAATTTGTTCATACAGTGGTTAACACTGATACTTCTACTTTTACTAGGTAGTGTTTTTGTCACATCATTTATCTTCGTAACAGCTAATGTATTCAACATACTTGCTTCCGACGTTGTGTTAAGCATTATCTCATTTTATCCTAACATACCTTTAGGAATAGTATACAATGCACTTCACGATCTGTAGAATTTACTCTCACTGTCAAAGCCAAATGCAGTGGCTCGGAAGATGCATAGAAGCAGCAATTCAGAAAGAATGACTTGATCCTGGAATAAATTCTAAAGCAAAGTGGGAGAAGGAGAGTGTCTTCCTCTCGGCAATAGGTGTAGTGTGGTTCACACATTGTGTATTTAAAATAAACACCTGGTTTAGTTTGTATGGCCTTCAGAATGTTACAGTGGATTGGAACGATATGGAATGGAATGGTGTGTGCATTTAAGGCTACTGGTCATGACTTTGTTTATTTTTCCTTAAATATACAGCGCAAGTCCTGAAGTGGGAAATGAAGAATTGCACAGTTGGTTCAATTAATGCAAACGATATGTCTCAAAGTCTCGCAGGAAAAGCAAATGACAGTGAAGAAGAAATGAGATTTCGAGAAGCTGTAATGGAACAAATGAACAACATGGAGAAGAGAATCCAATTTATTTCAGATACAGAAGCCAATCTCATAGATTCAGAGCATTTCCAAAATTTTAGTCTGGTGACTGATCAAAGATTCAATGATGTTCTTCTCCAGCTGAGCACCTTGGTTTCCTCAGTTCAGGGACATGGAAACGCAATAGATGAAATCTCCAAGTCATTAATCAGTCTGAATATCACATTGCTTGACTTGCAGCTCAATATTCAAACACTGAATGGCAAAGTCCAAGAGAATACATTTAACCATCAAGAGGTAAGAGTTTTTGTATTAGAAGGTCACATGCCAGCACTGAATCCATCTAGATTCTATCTCCTCAGATAGTTCAAGAAAACACAATATGTAAGCCCTGCCTCAACGACATCTGACTTACCCTGATTCCTCTGGTAATCCTACCAGATGATTTTACATGAATTTACCTAGTGTCTTCTCCAGATTCCCAACAGAGGGTGATTTTTTTCCATTGGATATAGACTCTCTTAAGGTGTTTTAATTTTATAAATCCTGTTATACTCTCTCTTGAGACTGTCTAAGCCAATTATAATTTTTAGGTGATCTTTGTAGCTACTCTGTGAGTTTTACAACAGACCCAAATTTCTTCATCATCAAAGAAATGGAAACATCATAGATATATACAACATCTAAATTTAAAATAGTCTATTTTGTCATTCCCAAGAAGTATACATACGTTTTAATGTGTAAAGATAACTATAATTAGAGTTGAATTTGGAATGATAGATACAACATCTTTTTTTTTTTTAATTTTTTTTCAATTTTTTTAATTTTTTTATTTATTTTTTGGGACAGAGAGAGACAGAGCATGAACGGGGGAGGGGCAGAGAGAGAGGGAGACACAGAATCGGAAACAGGCTCCAGGCTCTGAGCCATCAGCCCAGAGCCTGACGCGGGGCTCGAACTCCCGGACCGCGAGATCGTGACCTGGCTGAAGTCGGACGCTTAACCGACTGCGCCACCCAGGCGCCCCTACAACATCTTATTTTTATCGTAGGATCAAAGACACAGGATAAGAGAGCAAGACATGTTTAGATAGACCAGCTTGTCAGCAAAAGCTTTTATGCAAAGAGCCAGATGTAAACATTTTAGCCTTTGGGGACTCTAAGGTCTCTTTTCAACTATTCAACTTTGTCATTGCAGTGCAAAAGCAGCCATAGCCAATTTGCAGATACACCAGGGAGGCTGTGGTCCAGTCAGTCACTCTTCACAAAAACAGACTTTGACCCTTGGATTGTAGTTTTCTCACCTCTTCTATGGGCTATTGTGTGGCCAACCTGCTGGATTACTTTGTATTGATGAGAAAGAAATTAAGCAAGCCCTTATTTCAAATTGTGGGGGGGCTTGTTGTGAAATAATTACGATTGCTCCATCCCATGAAAAATAAGTAGATGACTAAAATTTAACTACTCGTGAAAAAATGATCTTTACATCACAAAATATCTAGAACCTAAGGACATAATTAACGTGAAGCCTATAAAATTTCTACCCTTAGAGAAGCAATTTTGGCATCTTGGTAGTAGATTTTATTTGAATAGAACCCTTTTTGATTAGTGAAGTTGTTTTCTGTATAGATACAGTATTAACTGTAGTGATTTTTTAAAAAATGGATTATCACTTACAGAGTATCAGTAAGCCTCTAAAGTTGTAACATTAAATGAAGATCAACTAAAATATTGACTAGAGCATAGACGAAACAGTTTAAGGAAAAATAGCCTACATGTTTATTTGTCAGGTACAATCACTCAGAACTTTTGAATTTCACATGATCCTGATCTTAAGGTGTCAGAAGACAATGGCATAGTTCTATAAATAGGAGGACTTTGTTGGTAAACCTCTTGCCAATACCAGCCTTGATACTCGGTTTCTATTCCATATCATCTCTTCCAAAATCTCACTGCATTTCCCACACTGTTAATAAGTATGTAAGCATGTCAGCCGCTTTGAAATACCAATGACTTGGGATGCAAAGGGGTAGAGATTCACTAAAAAGCAGCTGTCTACGGCGTAGATGAGTATGGGAGACGGATAAGTAAAATTTCAATGGTAAGAGTAATAACTGATTAATTTGGGGGAAAAGAGGAAAGGAGAAGGTATATTACTTTATGTAAAAACAGAAGAGCAGTGAGGTAGGCCCCCAGATTCAGTAGAGACTATAGAATATCTATGAATTCACATCAAGAGTGGAAACCAAATTGGAAACCATATGGAAGACAGTACAAATCCTGAGCTTGTTTAAAGTGATAATCACTGGAAATGATCAAAATGTGATGATCAGTGAACTATTTGGGTTTGGAAAAATTGCACTTAAGTTTTGGACTGGGTCCCATCATTAGAAACGAAGGTACAAGGGAATGGAGGGACTTCCAAAGCTACTTATTTTTTTAAGGCAGTAATCACTTGTAGAGATTTAGAAACTGGGTCACTACGAGCGTGTGTGTGCACACGTGTGCTCACTGAAAACAATATTCAGCCTCTTATCCCATGGCTTAAACACTTTTACCATCTTTGAATCTTTAACCTAATTCAGGAATAAGTAAATTAAATGAATGCCCAAATCAGTAAATGTTGTTTGAGAGAAAGGCTTCCAAGCGATACCAGCATGATGCCTATCAAGGACAGACCAAACATCAATTGGAGGGAAAAAACACCAGCACAAAATAAGAGAGGTGGGAATTCATCATGTCCATTGTTCATAGAAAGGGCTGTAAGACTGCAAAATTAAATGCCAGTTTCCAGCAGGGCCACTGATGGTAGAGTCTGGAAGGTGTGTGTGGCCGCTGAATAGGCTTCTTTAAAAAAAATAAAATGCACTTTCCGTCTTCCCCCTAGAAACAATTGCAAGTGAAATCTGGCTAATATGAGCACCATATGCAGTTTTCAGAAAAGGGAATAAAAAAAAAAACAAACAAAAAAAAACCAACTTCAGCTTTGTGTGTGAAGAACGTGGGCAAGGAGTAACTTTTTGGTAGCAAAATCAGCTGCCAGTCCCCTGACCTCTGCTCCATGGGCGTCTTTAACTACCTAACCAGCCTACAGCAATCTGTAGGCACCCAGATTAAGCTGGGCATGTTTTTATGTTGCTATGCTTTATGAACGTCCTTCTTCACTATTCTACTTTTATACATATTTTTCCAAATTTTATTTCTTTTATTTTACTATCGAAGCACGGTTGACATACAATACTGTGCAAGTTTCAGGTGTAGAGCAGAGTGATTTGACAACTCTATACGGTACTCAGTACTCACCATGAGAATGTAGTCACTGTCAGTCCCCATACATCATCACAGTGTTATTGACTATATTCCCTGTGCTGTACTTTTCATTATCATGACATACCATATTGCATGGGAAATGCCAAATAGTCAAGGAAGGAGGAGACAGAGGGTAGAGATAACAAAGAATAGGGTTTTGGATGGGGGAAGGCAGAGTTAGAGCAGTACAATTTGATAAGCTTCTCTTCTTGAGTATAGTGCCACTGAAGAGACAAATCTAGATATCTGTTCATTTATCTCAAAGGCTTTACACCCTGACTGCCTTGACCCCCTCACCTCAACTTGTCAAGTCAAGACAAGTGTAATTTTCTCTTTGTACTAGGATTACAGAGCAGTGTGTCCCTGGTTGATTTCTATATGCCAGTGGGAAATGAGAATACATCAGCAGTTAAGTAGAGATTTCCTTAGAAAAGTATAGAGCATACCATGAAGACAGAGGATGCAACCAAATTAGAATGGGGATACAGAAAATGTAGCCAGAATGGATGAGAAAGGTTGCCGCATCAGAAACAAGGCCCAACACCCAAAGGAAAACCAAGCCAATGTCTTGAAAGGAGAAGTAATAAACATTGTGAAAAACTTTATGACTATATATTTAACCTCATCATAATTCAAAAACTGAATAAATAGAATGATGTATTATGTATTGACTCTTAACTCTGCAAACCTAAATATGTTGAAGGTACCCAGCATATTTGGGTTTAAAAGTAGATACTGATATATGATGAATAAGGTTTAAAAAATAGTGCCATATATTTGGGGACACTGTGGCAGTATTGAACAAAAAGCTTAGCATTTAGTCCCTCTGATCAGACCTACTTTCAAGCAGCTGTCCTATAGAAGCGCTTGTACAAATATGTTTAAAATATATATATATAATTCATTACAACATTGCTTAAAGAAGTAAAAAGAGAGTATGCAGCTCAAAACTTGATCTCTAGGAATCTTGCATTATGAAAAATATATAAATATAATTCCACTAAATCATTGAAAATAGTCTCTGAATATTTTAATAGGTAAAAATCTTTAATATGTTATTGAGTGAAAAGTGAAAACATATTCTAAAATGTATGATATCATCTGTTCACAATCTATGTATGGACATATGTATATAAATACACACAATATATATATGTATTTGAAAACAAAATGATGTCTGAAATACATAAATAATAAACATTGAAAGTAAGATATTAAAATTCTAGTTGAGATTTTACTGAATATTTTTTTAATATATTTAAAAAAAAATTTAATGTGTATTATTTTTGAGAGAGAGAGAGAGAGAGAGAGAGAGAGAGAGAGAGAGAGACCAAGCAGGGAAGGGACAGAGAGAGAGGGAGGCACAGAATTCAAAGTAGGCTCCAGGCTCCGAGCTGTCAGCACAGAGCCCGACGCGGGGCTCAAACTCATAGACCGCGAGATCATGACCTGAGCTGTAGTCGGCCGTCCACTGACTGAGCCACCCAGGCACTCTGAGATTTTACTGAATATTAAAACCTATCATGAATGTTCATTATCACTGAGAATTGTAACATTAAACTTTATTATTGCTACAAAACAGTTTAATGTACAAATTCTGTCAAATTCATAGAATATGTAGGTACTCAAAGTACAGTACAAAGAAATTTCACTTCTGATAAAAATCATACAAGCTTTTGTTTCATTTTCAGCATTTTGACATGCATACATTTAGGAATCAAAGCATACCTTGGATATATTCAACTAATTTTGTGGGGACATAGGGTGTAAAAATTCAGCCATTCAGTTAAAAGAGGAAATGCTTCAAAGCCAAAAAATTACTGGCTTAGCACAGTTCTCTAATTTCTACATTCTTATTCCATAATGTTCTATAGTATTCTTGTTTAAAAAAAAAAACAAAACACTTGACTTCCAGGGCTTCTTAAACTTACATATTGATAATTATGTATGTAATAAAAATTGTGGGTGCTTGCTTATGTTTCACAGGACGTGAGTAGATTAGAGGAGCGTGTGTACAATGCATCAGCAGAAATTATGTCTATGAAAGAAAAACAAGTGAATTTGGAACAGGAAATAAAAGGAGAAGTGAAACTACTGAATAATATCACTAATGATCTCAGACTGAAAGATTGGGAACACTCTCAGACGTTGAAAAATATCACTTTAATTCAAGGTAAAATATTTTCTCATTCCTCCAGAAAATGATATATTAAAATGTACTGATATGTGCAGAGATTTGGTGTTTGAAATCTTATGGTATAAATTAGTTTTTGAACATATGTTTACTACAAATGTCCAGAGAAAGGAAGTTTGAGATCTCATCGAGACATGGTAAGATATCAGCATCTTGGTATTCTTTAAATGAAAATGTTAAAAAAAAAAAAAAAAAGTCTTTAAGGTCTAATGAGTCGTTATTCAAAATATCCCATATTAATGAAAATGAATACAAGTTTTCTGTAAGGCACCAAATTCTCTTCCTGTCCACAGATCAAACCTGTTAATTCTGTTTTTCAAAACTTCCAGATTCTTTTTTACTTCTTACCTGACTGTATTCTTAATTAGAAAGGCTTTTGAACTCGGCAAACGAACAATAAATTTGTCAATTTCTTCTTTCGTTCCTGTTGGTAAACCACAGTAAATTGAATCTTACTGATTTTTAAATTAATATATACATACTATATATTTTTACTCTAAATTTTATTTCTTTTTAAAATATTTTCCCATATTTTACTTTGTGTTAGGTTTGTCTTCTATAAAGAACACTTTTTTTTTTTTTTATTAAAGATTTTATTTGGGGGACACCGGGGTACCTCAGTTGGTTAAGCATCTGACTTCAGCTCAGGTCATGATCTTGTGGTTCGTGAGTGTGAGCCCGCCTACACTGGGCTCCCTGCTGTCATCACAGATCCTTGGTCTTCCTCTCTCTCTCTGCCTCTCCCCTGTTTGTGCACACACGCATAAGTGTGTGTGTGCACGCACGCAAGCATGCTTGTTTTCTCTTCCCCTTTCTCAGATAAATAAACTTTAAAAAAAAAAAAAAAAAAAAAAAAAAAAAAAAAAGAAAGATTTTATTTTTAAGTAATCCCTACACCCAAGTGGGGCTGGGATCGAGAGTTGGGCGCACTACCCACTGAGCCAGCCAGGAGCCCCAAGAACTCTTAAAAATATGCAATCTAACCTTTCTTTTTTTCACTGTATCTATTTCTAACATGTTATTTTGTGCTGCTTTTGTCCAGTTCTATGGTCCTTTGCTTTCCTTTCTTGTCTACTTTCAGATTGAGATTTTTCTCAATGAATTTTTCTTTCTGCAAAAGTCACCAAGAAGATTTTGGAGACTTTTTAATCTATTCCTATTTTATTGATAGTTGTTTTTGAGTTTTATATTAAAGTTTAAAGTTGATGTATAGCTTCATCTCAACCCTAAAGATCCAAAGAACTTAAAACACTGTATCTGATGACCCCTTTCCCTGGTTTCCTGCTGTTTTTGAGTATAGTTTATTTCTGTTTTATCCAGTTTAAAAAGAAAGTTAAGAATTTAGTCAGTATATACGTACAATATTTATTAAAATTTGCACATAAGTTGATTAACTTTCCCTTCTTCTAAATGCACTTCAGACATCTCTTCTGGGATCATTTCCCTTCTTCCTAAAGTATATCTTTTGGAGGTTCATTAAGTGAAAGTCCAAATGGTGAGATCTTTGGATTTCATTTTCTCTATTTTGTCCTTGATGTTTAAAATTGTTCTACTACAGGGGCGCCTGGGTGGCGCAGTCGGTTGAGCGTCTGACTTCAGCCAGGTCACGATCTCGCGGTCCGTGAGTTCGAGCCCCGCGTCGGGTTCTGGGCTGACAGCTCGGAGCCTGGAGCCTGTTTCCGATTCTGTGTCTCCCTCTCTCTCTGCCCCTCCCCCGTTCATGCTCTGTCTCTCTCTGTCCCAAAAATAAATAAACGTTGGAAAAAAAAAAATCTATTTAAAATTGTTCTACTACATACGTATACAACAGCTCTTCCTGTTATTTCTACCAGTATTTGGAAGATATTTCCCTGGCTTTTTGGCTTTCTTTGCTGTGTTAAAAATGATTGCTCCGAATCTGCTCGTCATTCTTCTTGTCTTTATTACCTGCCGCTTCACTAATTGTGTTTCTTATATTGAGAATTGATTCGTATCACATTTGTTTTACTTCTCCTGTTTGTAAATTTAAGTCGATCACAAGTTCAGGAACGTTTTCAGCGTCGGTCTCTTCCAATACTGCTTCACAAACTTCTGTACTCTTTGTTCTGTGATTCTACCTCAATTCATGCTAGGTCCTCTTACTTGAGTCTGTTAAACTCTATTTTATGATTTTAACCTTTTTATTCTATTAGTAATTAACAGAAATCCATGAGGTTTTTATTACATACCACTAGGAAAACATATTTTCAGTCTAATATACAAGTATTTACAGGGGAAAAAATTAAAGCAAGTCCCAGAAGACTATATATAGTATAATTTTTGTTTCTAATGCTCATAATTTAGCAAAAGTAAACCATGTGTATTTATAGCTGCATACATATGTAATGAGAATTGGTAGCTTTTAAAGTGCAGGAAAGTGGGAACCCCAAAATTCAAGTTAAAGTTTAGGTCTGAAAAGAAACAAGATGAATGAGATTGGGAAGCACCCAAATAGGTACCTGTTTCTTGATTTGTGACGTTGCAGAGTGTTCTCTTTATTATTGTGCTTTATAGCTGACTTATATAGAACACGTTGCTTCCATTCTTTAATCATTACATTAGAAAAGCTGATAAAGAAAAGTTTGAATGAATCAACATTCCCTCTAACAGTTAGATAACTCCACTTTGGATTTCAAATCCATATCCAAAATTTTATAAATCCAGAACCAACCCCTTGATTCTCGAGCATCCCTCCCCATACACTCTGCCAGTCTGTTGAGTTCCTGGGCTTATGTGTCAGCTGTATCAGTATCTAACTAGTTACTCGCCCCAAGATCTCAGAAGCTGTCTTTGATGTCTTTCTGTTGCTTCCTACGTGTGATCCATGTATGAGTCCTGTTAACTCTTGTTACATGCACTATTTCTTTTTTTTTCTTTTATTTAAAAAAAAAATTTTTTTTTCAACGTTTATTTATTTTTGGGACAGAGAGAGACAGAGCATGAATGGGGGAGGGGCAGAGAGAGAGGGAGACACAGAATCGGAAACAAGCTCCAGGCTCTGAGCCATCAGCCCAGAGCCTGACGCGGGGCTCGAACTCACGGACCGCGAGATCGTGACCTGGCTGAAGTCAGGCGCTTAACCGACTGCGCCACCCAGGCGCCCCTACATGCACTATTTCAAATAAAACCACGTCTCACTATCTCCTCTGTCACTATTATAATTCAAGCAACTATATTTGGCTGAGGCACTGCATCAGCTTCCTACTCATTCTTCCGATTCTACTTTTAATCCATCCTACATAACGTAGAGCAAAAGAGTGGTACAAGAAATTAGTAGATAGTTTAGGTCTCATGCTGAAACCCTCCAATATTTTTCCTATCGACTTAGAATAAATCTGAAATCCTGCTTGGTTTCACACCCACCTACTTATCTGCCCTCATTTTCCCACTTCCCCTCTGGTATTCTCTCTGTCTGGCTCGGAAATCTGGAAGAATGAAAGTGCTAAGTGTAAGTTAGCATAGTAACTTACATGGTAAGTAAGTTACATAGTAACTTACGAAGTGTAAGTTCCTGAGGAGGAAGTGCTGCTTTCATTTCTTACTGTCCATCATGTACACTCCTGCCTTGTCTCTTGAAACGTTGTTCTCTTGGAACGCCAGCTGCTTCTTGGATCCACTCAAGAACACTATTTTAGGGGTGACTTTTTTTCCCTCCTCTCTTCTCATTTTCCTCCCCCCATCTCTTTATGTCATCATTTGCTTTAGCTTCCTCATAGTACTTACCACTGCGTGAAATTGTTTCATCTGTGCATTTGCTTATTTGTTTAGGATACGTCTTCTCTGATAGCTCGTGAGTTTCATGAGGTTGAGTTTCACCTTTCTTGTCTATCTGTCTGTCTCCAGTACCTGTTAGAGCGCTTTCTGTGCAGTGGGCGAGCAATTATATATGTGCTGAATAAATCAGCAAAACTGGCACTTTCTTCTCCTTAAGTCACACTTTGTAATAGCAGTGTCTTGGGTAAACTTTTCTTACCACTGCTCTACCAGACTATTGAAATAGTCTGCCAATCATTTCCTTCCCCAATCTTTCAGACTGTAATTCTATCTGCATTCTTGGTAAAAAATGCAGTCTTCCTGAAGAGAAAAAACCCTCGATTATAAGCTTCTCTATCACTTCCTCATTCTATGTTTCTCTCTGCAGCACTCAGGATCTTGTCTAATGTGTATTTAACCACTTTTCAACACCTGATTTCCTCCCTCTTCCCTTTGTGATACCAAATACTTCAATTGATTCAATTATGATTCTAACATACCAAGTACTTTTTATATCCTGACTCATGCCTTTGCCTTTGCTTGAAATATCTTCTCTTCCCTTTGTATCTGAAAATATCCTATCTTTCATTCAATGCCCATCTAATATCTGAAGACTTCTCTAGTTCCATCAGAGTAATACTTCCTGACATCTACATCTTGTTTAATATTGAACATTAGGTATCCTTTCATAAGAGAAATCTTCACATGATAGTCATACCTAAAAGTATCTCACATTGTCTTCTAGTTCACTGTTGCCGCTTCCTGAAAACAATACATCCCTTAAAACCAGGGACTATTTTTTATATTCTCTACCACATATAAGCATAAAACAAATGTTGAATAAATACCCTTCAAATTATAACCCAAGAAAAATGAATTGTACACGTTAATGAGTGCTTTATCACTGGCTGGTTGTAGGATTTTCCATCTTTGGGTCCCTCCTCTTAATGTCAACACCTGCTATGTAATCATGAAGATAAAAGAGACAAAGATATTTTAACGTATTAAGTAATTACAGTCATTAGAGTCTTAAGGACTAAGTGGAATTTCATCATTGAAATCATGAAGTAGAGTTTGGTAGGGAGTGAGACATAGCATGATTTAAAGAATCAAAGTCAGTGAACGTTCAAGGAGAGGAGTTAAGAGAAATAAAATACAATATGGCTCAGTGGTGAGAAGAGAGAATGTGATGTTTATTTGAAATGAGATTTTAGACAAATGTTTCTTGGAGGATCTAAAATCATACATATATTCATACATGTATATATTCATATCAAGGAAGAAGAATAAACAATTGGTAGAATTTAAACTTGGATATTTGTACAACTAGTTACCGTGATTTTAAAGAACTGGTGTGTTTTTCACCATGAGGTAAAAGAAAAATTCATCCCAGAAAAAAAGTGGGAAAACAGAGCCAAAAGTGAAGTCAATTAAACACGGGATAGTGTAGCCTAGAATGTCAGGAAAGAAGTGGTCTAGTTCTGTTTTTACCCGACTAGCTTTTAAAACCTTGGACAATTTACTCTCTCTGACCTCTCTATACGTATGTTTGACTAAGAAACCTCTAAGTCCTCTTCCAGATTAAAGATATCTAAGTCAATGAGCATGAAAACTAAAAGAAAAAAAAAAAAAGAGAGAGAGAGAGGCAGGTTTAAGAACCAATAGCCAAGAAGATTTGGCAGATTTTTATGATGATCTAAACAGAAGGCAAGATTAAGACTGAAGTAGAAAATATATGATCATAATGAATAGGATATGGAGAAGCATAGCTCTGGAAATTTAGGCAGACATTATTAGTTCTTTGGTATCATCTGAGGATTTTAAATGATATGATATGCCTGGGTTTGCTTTTCCAGTGAACTGTATAATTTTGATCTCTGGTATTTATGGTTACTGAGTATTCTAAATCAGTTCTTTTTTGTGGCTATCTAGAAATCTTAGTGTTCGTTTAAAAAAAAATCATAGGGAGGGAGGTAAGGAATGGATTTTGTATGTGTGTTTTATAGAGGGAATTGTCCATGGCAAATTATCACTGCAGTGTTTATGAATTATCCCTGTAACTCTGGAGTTAGGAGGCATTAAATTTGAAGAAAAATAGTGTGAATTCTTATATGGCTTCTTGAACTAGAGCAAATCAGACATTTTGGGCAATATTAATCTAGTCTTGACATCAGTTAGCAAGGGAGCTGACAGGTAGCATTATGTCCATTTATTGATGCACAGAGGTGGTTATTGATGTGATTATGGAATAGAGTTTTGAGAGACTAATAATTCAGAACAAAGAAGGCAACTGCAAAGAAACTAAGTCTCCTGACTTTAAGTTCTTCATTCTTTTTTCCATAACATGGCGGAATAGATAGCTAGATTTCTGTATAGTTGATGGAGATAGTATTTTTTTTTTAAGCTGGAACTTAAGGAAATATGAAGGTGAAATAGACACAATCCATTCCGACCAGATTAAAAAAAAAAAAAAGTCTAGAATAATCCAGCTGCAGGATGATTAGGATGTGAGCTACAGCAGGGATGGAGAGGAGATACCACTTTTGTAAGGTAGCGTGAGACCATTATATTCACAGTGTTCTTAAAAAGTCTACACACACAGCTAAGAGAAAACTGGTATATGATCTGTATATTTCTATCCCACCAAAATATGTAAAAGACACTAAAAATATTTATTGAGATACTTCCCACATTTCGGTCTAAGCAGTGGAAGAGATATAACAATGTATAAAAATGAAACATAATAAGTGAGATTAATGTTTCATGAAGAATAAAATAACAATAAAAATGTAACATCCCACACACCCAGCTAGAATTCTTTAAGGTTTACTTGGTTTTCTTACTCTGGCATTCAGAAACTTGGTATCAGTATTTTATATAAAAATACAGAGAAGGATCTTTGACTCAGAATTATATAAAATAACACAGAGGTGTTTATTATGATTGGATTAATTCTCCAACATTAGAGCTGTATACAGTTACTCTACACAGTTACCTGCAAAATACGTGTAAGGATTGTGTTTGTGAAAGAGTTCTATTTCCTACTTGCTGAATAAATGGTGAGCACTTCTTTTTTTTCTTTTAAATGTTTATTCTTGAGACAGAGAGAGACAGAGCATGAGCAGGGGAGGGGCAGAGAGAGAGAGAAAGGGAGACACAGAATACAAAGCAGGCTCCAGCTTCTGTGTTTCAAACTCTTGGACCACAAGATCATGACCTGAGCCAAAGTCATATGCTTAACGAACTGAGCCACCCAGGCGCCCCAAGTGGTGGACACTCGTAATCACAGAGGCTAAGAGCCTAGATGTACTCTATGGGTCCCTTGTTTCTTGTCTCACACATTCCCTTTTCCTGAAATGTCTGTGTCTTGCTCTAGAGCTCTAATTACTAAATCAAAATCTTTCCTTGTGCACTTTTTTTTTTTTAAACCACCCTTGAGTACTGTGGATTTGCTTCCTTTCAGTTTGCTCAGCAAAATCTGGGCTGCAGATTGAATCTTTCCATCCTGCTTGCCTTAACTTTGTCACTGTATAGAGATGACTGAACCACAGCTGTGTTCTTGGTGGTGGACGTATAACCCCTGCTGTTGGGAATGTCTGCCTTCTGCATGGAATGGAAGATGTGTACAGATTGATGTAAAACCATGACATTTCTTGTGCAACATCAAAATATGTGTGTCCAACATTAAGCCAAAGCTTAGGAGAATTTGTTTACGTGATTATATGGAAAAAAAAAATAGGCAGGCAAACAAAACAAAACAAAAAGTACAGACACAGGAAATAAATATTCTCTCAAGATGATATAATTATGAGGGTGCCTGGGGAGTTCAGTTGGTTGAGCATCTGATTCGATTTTGGCTCAGGTCATGATCTCGTGGTTTGTAGGATCGAGGCCCACATTGGGCTCTGTGCTGACAGCATGGAACCTGCTTGGGATTCTCTCTTTCCCTTCCCTCTGCTCTTGCTCTCTGTCTCTCAAAATAAATAAATTTCTAAATAAAAAAGATGACAGAATTATGAATTATATTTTTTCTAGGCTTTTATATTTCTTATAATAAGTTGCATTGCTTTTGTAACAAAAATGCAATAAAATATTACTGCCCCATGTTGCATATGAAGAGAAAGGGACATTGTGCCATTGAGAAGAACAATGATGTCTTAAAAACCGGGGAAGGAAGGTTCTAAAATCTAAGTTGGACCTTGAAAAATGGAACAGATCAGAAAAAATGGAGAGAAGCAGGGATGGGACTTCAAACAAAACAAAGAAAATGAATAGAATATACTTTTTCATGAGACAGTCTTTATTTATATGGCCCTCTCTTCAAATTCTTCAGGTATTTTATTGCCCACCTGAGTAAAACTTGTCAACAAATGCTCTCTAACCAGTGATGCAAAATATAGTTGTGTATCATCCTTGGGCTGTGTATTTGGCTGAACAACAGCGATTGAAAATGCCTCTTTTAGCTTTTTAAATAATGTTTTTAAATGTTTGTTTATTTATTTTGAGAGAGAGAGAGGGAGAGAGAGAGAGAATCCCACGCAAGCGCCACACTCAGTACAGAGCCTGACATGGGGCTCAATCTCAGAACTGTGAGACCATGACCTGAGCCGAAATCAAGAGTTGGATGCTTAACCAACCAACTGAACCACTCAGCCACCCCAAAATGCCTCTTTTAAAGGATCTGTATTCATTATTCTATGGTATATCCGAGATTGTTTCTTCCTTTTGGAGTTGAAAGGAAAATTGTAGAGTGTTCTGCATTAAGTGAAGGGGTTAATACTTGTCCTGTGCGGTCCATATAGAAGAGGGGATACTAGCAGTGTTACCTTAAATTTCCAAAGTGCCATCATTCTAAAGAGGTGATCACTAGGTTTCTGTTTTGCTGGGCATAGAAAATTCAAAGACTACATCAGTATTGATCAAATTCAGTATTCAGGGGTCTTTGGGGAAATTGTGAGGCCAGGCAGTCAAACTTTTCCCTGAGACCTCTCCAACTTATTTTGTAGTGTCTATATCTATTTAGTCATTCTACTTGATACAACTCTATTGATCTATTTAGTCATTCTACTTGATACAACTCTAGTTGAACAATACAGGGGTTAGGGGCACTGATCTCCTGTGCACTTGAAAATGAGTGTATAACTTTTGACTCTCCCCAAACTTAACTACTGATAGCCTACCGTTGACCAGAGCCTTACCAATAAAAATCAATTGACACATATTTTGTAACTTATATGCATTTTATACTGTATTCTTACAACAAGGCTAGATAAAAGAAATTTTATTAAGAAAATCTAAGAGAAAATATATTTGCAGTACTGTAGTGTGTTTGTCCAAAAAACAGTCTGCATGTGAGAGGACCCATAGTTTAAACCCATGTTGTTCAAGGATCAATTGTGCTTTACTTGAAAAAGTATTCTTTTACTCATTTTCACCTCCCTACCTTTCCCCATGTCTCTCCCACTTACCCAGAATTCTCTTTCACCTCATTCTATCCATTCTTCAAACTACCTTTCAACTCTTACTCTGTCAATAAAGGCTTTTCAACCATTGCCACCTCTGCTGATTTACATCTCTCTAACAAATGTCTGAGTTTGCCATTTTCAACAATATGGGTTTTGGTTGTCTACTATGTGTGGATCACACGTGATTGATAGGTCCTTACTTACACATTTTCCAGATAGCAACTAACTGAATATAATGAAATCTGCCTAGTATGTATAGAGTACTGATGTGGGTTTATGCTGTCATTGACTCAGTGTCTTTCTCTGCTCCTGGGTTCTAAGAACCTCGAAAAGTGGTAGCCACACATAATTATGTAATACATAATTAGGTTGTCTATTTTAGGGCTATCTCCTCCTTATCGGGATAGAACATTGCACTCCTCTGTAGCAGGGCATGCCTCCATTCTGGAAGGTCAGTCTTATTCGTGTTATTGCACAACAAAGAAAAGACTTTGAATTTACTTACAGAATTGTCTTTTTTTTTTTAATTTTTTTTAAGGTTTGTTTATTTTTGAGAGAGAGAGACCATAAGTCGGGGAGGGGCAGAGAGAGGGGAATAGAGGATCTGAAGTGGGCTCTGCACTGACAGCAGTGAGCCCAATGTGGGACTCAGACTCACGGGCCGTGAGATCATGACCTGAGCCAAAGTCCAACGTTTAACCGACTGAGCCACCCAGGTGGCCCTACTTATAGAACTGTCTTGAAACGTGACAGATCCATTTTACCTATGTTTTCAAACTTTGACCAATAATTGTAATTTATTTTTTAAAGGTCCTCCTGGACGCCCAGGTGAAAAAGGAGAGAGGGGTCCTGCTGGAGAAAGTGGTCCACGAGGCATTCCAGGTGCAATAGGTATGGTAATAGTAACCACTTAATCATACACTATAGGGCCAGGTAATATGTATGTGTGTAGGGGAAAATGGTTATTCGATTTTTCTCCTGTGGAGCATGTGCGTGTGTGTGTGTGTGTGTGTGTGTGTGTGTGTGTGTGTGTGTGTATTAAGGGGGATATTAAGTATTTTCCAGCAGCCTGATCACTATAATGTACGATATGTAACTGCTTTAGGTTTTTGAAAAAAGTTAAATGCTTTAGCCAGAGTTACCATATGGGGTTTTCAAGAAGTCTGGGGAGTGCTGTCCATGTCCTTTATCACACATAGTGTATGGCAGACCTAGCTTTAGGTCACATGAAGAGAATATGAAAATCATCTTCACATTGAATATATTTGCATTATATATATAATGTGTGTGTGTGTGCGTATATATATATACACGCACACACACACACATATATATACACATATGTATATATGCGTGTGTATATATATGTAAAATGTAATGTATATATGTAAAATATATATTAAATGTATATAAATATAAATAGTACATATACTATAGATGTATATATATGTGTGTATGTGTATATATGTGTGTGTGTGTATGTGTATGTATGTGTGTGTGTATATATATACGTGTATGTATATACACACACACACACACACACATCTCAAAGGAATTTGGATTCCTTGTATAGTCCTTAACTGGAATATATCTGCTTAAAATTAAGAAATCTAAATGTAAGTATTGACTAGAATACAAATGACTTCTACCTTCATTGTCAGCCACTCTCTGTATTTTGCTTCAAGCAAAATAGTTTTAAATTATTTTCCTCTGTTGATGTTGTAATCTTGAGAGCAGTATTTTGAGAGAAGATAATAGAAGACAGAAAAGGAGAAAGAGCATGAACTCTCCTTGCTCTCAAAAACATAAAGGAGACAAGAACAATAGCATGATTGTCATGTTATTCTTCACTAGAAATCAAATACCCACATGCTCTTTGAAAGTGGGGAGTATACCGCTTGGCTTAGTTATATCTAGGATGGGTTGTGCCACCCAAAACATGTCTAAATACCATGTACTTCATCCTATTATTCTGTCTTTTGGTTGTATAAAATGTTCTTCTTTCTGATCAATATATTGACTAGCCCGGGTTACATCAGAAAACTAGTGTTTAAAAATGAAAAACCTGAATATGACACCTCTGACCTTGGCATCATTATACTTAAAAGGCCAATGCATAGTTTACATGAAAAAGGCTTTAAAATTGTTTAAAATCTATTTGTGTATCTATTTATTTTATTACATACGTATACACAACATATACATAATTTTTTCTATTAGGCAGGTTGCTGGTATGCCTTTGAAAATATTGCCAGGTAAGATTCTTTATTCAGAAAAATCTTTCTACTTGACTAGCAATCCAGAGATCTTACCAATGGCGCGTTAATGTCATAGCAGGGGAAGTAACCAGTATTCTGTCAGCTGTCAGAGCTGCTATTGTCAAAGGTCTGTCAGCTCCTCCATTACAGACTGCAATTGTCAAAGCTTTATAACTCAACCATGTAAGTTCAGTCTGGGCTACAACTTGCTGTGCAAAACTTCATCTTGGGAGAATCTTTTGCACCTGTTTCTGAACTATGGATGTATGAAATAGAAAAAGGGATTTAAAAGTTTCAGCTTTTGTTAATACCCTGAGCAGATACCATTGCAAAGCTGCTCTGATTCTTTTAGTGAGGGTTTAGTCTGTTGCCGTTGGTACTGCTCTTTTACGCAAATAGGCATTATGTAGTTTCTCATGTAAGAGAGTTAGATTTCATTGTTGGGTTATAAGTTGACTCTGGTAGATTATTAAGTTGCCATTTGGTCTGGTGCACTGCAGCAAAAGTATTCAGGTTACCAGGCATCTCTCTTAATGGATTCTTCCTCGCTTGATTGGTACATTCTGTTTTGTTCGCTGCCAGATTACCTAATTGCTCAATATGGGTACTAGAATCAGGAAGTAAAGAGTATATGATGAACAGTCATGATAATTCTACTTCCTGATTACAGCAAGTTCATTGACATCTCACGAATACGTGCAGTCGAGCTTATTAAACTCCGCTTGACCAACTAACTCAAAGTCCTCTAGATTCACAACCGTGGTCTCTAAACCTGACAAACTTTAATGATTATTCTAGCGGCCTGAATAACCAATTCATTAATATACTGCAGTAGATACTCAGGTACTGGGCTGGGTATTATGTTAAAATGTGCTGTATCTCAAATAACAGAAATTTCAGAGTGGTAGTTCCTTGGAAGCATGCCAGGGAGAATGACCTATGCCTTTTACTCAACAAAATCTTTGCTGAGCACTTTTCCTGTTCCTCGTGTGCTCTACAAGGCCTTGTGGACCCTATACTCAGAGGTTGAGAATTTCTGCCTGCACAAAACTTCCAGTATGATAAGTAATTCTATAAACGATAAATGTCATGGTAGAGGATTCTTGACATCCTCTGAAATCCTTTGGGGGCACTTTCTGGGTTATTCCCCCATGATAATAGTGCTTTAAGGAAAGGATGCTGAATTAGATCCTGAAGTATCCTTTCTGTAGCCATCTACTAGGCTGTTTCTGCCCACTGCGATCAATAACAGGGTAGCCTGACCTGTGGGCATGGGAGCGCTATCTACGCGAGACGCCTTGAGAGGGAACCAAAGGGTCCATTGGCCACAAAACATTGATCATTATCCAGTGCTGTTTACTTTTCAGACATAGCTTGAATTTTCTTCCATAAGAATCATGCTTCTGGAAGAGAAAATGAAGTCCATCTAACTGTGGTTATTGAAGGACAAGAACTGCATTTCATTTATCTTTATATCTACCCGTGTCTTTACCCCACCCACCCCTCTTCTTCCAGTCTGTGGCCCAAAAAGCTTTATCCCCCAGGCTGGAACCAGGACAGTGCTCCCCAAAATATGCATTTGAGTAAGGAACATTGCTGGCTGCAGACTCTTGCTACGAGTGTAGAAAGCAGGTTTCTTTGGGAGGTAACTAATTATGCCAATGAATCCAAAAATGTCTGCAAATTATGTACATACCATTAAATAAAATTAAATTAGCAGCCTTGACAAAAAGCTGGTGAAAATAATGATTATATTACAAAGAAGAACATCGGGGCACCTGGGTGGCTCATTCGGTTGAGTGTCCTACTCTTGGTTTCGGCTCAAGTCATGATCTCATGGTTCGTGAGATCGAGCCCCACATCAGGCTCTGTGCTGACAATTTGGAGCCTGCTCAGGATTCTCTCTCTGTCCCCCACTTTCTTTCTGCCCCTCCCCCACTCACACACACAGATGCACGCATGTTCTCTCTCTCAAAATAAATAAAAATAAAGAAGTATCATTAAATACACAAGTCACATAACTCTAAAGGTCATACAGAGTCTGCCTAAATATCTCCCATAATGGAGGTCTAATGATCAAGTGATTTCTATGAAAGTATCACATGGCCTTCATTTATGGATTCCTTTGTTCACCCACTGAAAATGTGACATAATTCCTAGTTGAAGAGCTGTATTCTGAGTGTCACCGAAATGTATTCAGTAAGTCATTATTGGAGAGGTTTTTCCTGATCCCCTTGCTAGGCATCCTCTATTACATTTCTCTCTTTTTTCTAAAATTATCATCTCCAAAATCACCTTCTTTCTTGATTTGTTAACTTTCTTTTTTTTTTTAAATTTTTTTTTTTTTAACGTTTATTTATTTTTTTGGGACAGAGAGAGACAGAGCATGAACGGGGGAGGGGCAGAGAGAGAGGGAGACACAGAATCAGAAACAGGCTCCAGGCTCTGAGCCATCAGCCCAGAGCCCGACGCGGGGCTCGAACTCACGGACTGCGAGATCGTGACCTGGCTGAAGTCGGACGCTTAACCGACTACGCCACCCAGGCGCCCCTTAACTTTCTTGCTGTATGTCTCCACAGTGGAAGATCTGTTCAGATAAGAACCTGTGTAACTCCAAGAACATATAGGGACTGACATAATATGTGTGCTCAGTGTATCTTTGTTGAATTAATGGAGAAAATTGTACAAATGGGAGTTACCCGTGAGCAGCATTCTATAAAGAGTGGGCAGTGGCCTAAGATTTACAAAAAGAGAGAGAAAGAATTTATAGTCGGTGTTTTTATATGTAAATTTGAGTGACCTTTTAATAACTGTAAGTACAGATACTGACTGTCTTCCTTGGGTAATGAAGAAAGGTATAAGTATTAATCAATTAGCCCATCTTGAGAACTGATGATAATTCCTTTTTAGGCTGTATGCTATGAAATCCAGCTAGTAGATACTATAAGGTAGAGTGTGTTTGTGTGTGAGTTTGTGTGTGTATTCGATATATGAAAATAGCAATTTATGTATCATATATTGATATAGTTAGGTATATATAGATGTATACATATACATTTATATATAATGCATATATACAGTATATCTATATTTATGTAAAGTAATGTATATTGAATTATTAAATTGAGATGCCCTGACTTTACTCATATTTCTAAACATAATTTATCATTTTATTGCTTTGGATATGTGCTTAATATACAATGGAAGCAAAGTTTAGGCTGGCATAAATAATATTTCTTAACTATTTAAGAATGTTAAATTTTAACTTAACTTTAAACTTTAACTTAAATGTTGAACTTAACATTTCTTAAAGAATATTTAGCTCAATTTTAGGTATCTATATGAATGTACCTCAAGAAAAGATTTTTTTTTTTTTTTTTTTTTTTTTTTTTTTTTTTTTTTTTTTTTTACTGAATTAAGTATGGATAAGTCCTGCCTCCTGGAACTTGTAAACTAACAACAATATATTAACAGATTGATATTGGAAAAAGATGTATAATTTTTAAATTTTTCATAGTGTGCTTCCCAAGGAGTTAACTGAAAATTGAATTAACAGAATCTCTGTGAACTGATAATAACATCTAAAATGAGATTTTTACAATAGTTTATTTCAAACTGCTGGACCCCAGGATGAAATAGTTTATTCTACTGGAAAATAACACTTTCATGTGCAGTTTTCATGGTCACTACAGTAATGGTGGGGGGCTATTTTCATTTAATCACATAAAATCCTGGGTTTGTATATTTATATAATATGCACCCATAAATGAATCTTTGTATAGTACACACACACACAAATGTATATATATCACATATATATGGTCACATTATTGTTTGGGATTACAATAGAATGTGTAAAATCAAGTACATGAAAGAAAGCTTAATATATTCCAGCAGTAGGACCCAATTTTTTAAATATTTTTTTATACTTCTCATTGCTTGAGTTGTGTTTTTTCAGGAACAAATCTTCAGAATTCCGTTTTCACCTTGTACATTTCAAAGTTACCATTTCAGCTACAGGCAGAATCCTGCCATTTGAGGATTCCTGATTGGATTACATAAGCCTTCTGGTTAAAACTCCAAAAATTTTTTTCTTATATGCTTTTTACTTGTGATAACAATATGTTTTTTATTGAGTATCTACATTGTACTAAATGCACTAATGTTTCTACCAACTGCTTATAATGTTTATCAATGGCACTCATGAAATGTTATGATCAAATATTATCCCTACCTTTGGAAATTTGCCTATTGTATATTCATTGATTTTCTTATACTCACAAACCTATATGAAAAATGATTTATTTCCACTGTGTTTTTCTTCGTTAACGACATAGGTCCTCCAGGTCCCAAAGGTGATCGGGGAGCAATTGGTTTTCCTGGAAGCCGAGGATTCCCAGGACCAATGGGGAAGACCGGGAGGACAGGTGTGGTGATCATCTAGATGTTCTTTGTAGATAATGTAATATATACATGGAGCAGAGATACTTTCCCATAGTCTTGCATAACAAAAACAATAGCCATCCCAGCATGAACAGCTGATGCACATGTAGTTTGTCTCGTGGTCTGCAACATTTAGAAACTAATTTCTGTCTACCTGAGCAGTTTCTATGTCCCAAAGGAAGTCTTAAAAAAAAAAAAAAAAAAAAAAAAAAAAAAAAAAAAAAGACAACAGAGGATTTATAAACTCTACCCAACCATAAATCACATGAAGAACGGTATCTATCTTAGAAGAGAGTGGAAAGACTCACGAAGAAAAACAAAGTATAAATATACTTTTAACTAAAATGGGCCAAACCCTGGGAAGTTATAGTCAGCAATCCACAGATAGGTCAGAAATCGTAGTCTCTGCAAGATAAACTGGCTGCTATTATATATTAGTTCTTAATAATCTGCATGATTCAGGCTCTTTAAAATTTACATACGTGATGACATTATTTCTACTCCTTATAACAGTAGCCTAATCTTGAATTGTGAGCTTTACAAGGAAATTTTAGAAGGAGAGAGGCTTATTGTTTCCTAATCTCAAAGAAAATTATGACAAAGGGTCATAATCACCTTATCATTGAGGTGGGTTTTTTTTTTTTTTTAATCCATTTTCTTTTTTGGAGTAATTTTAGGTTTATAGAAAAACTGCACAGAAAATACAGAGAGTTCCCATAAACCCACATCCAGTTTCCCTATTATTAACCCCTCGCGTCAGTGTGGTGCATTTATTAGAATTGATGAACCAATACTGATACGTTATTATTAATTTAAGACCACGGTTTATATTAGATTTCACTCTTAGTGTTATACATTCTGTGGGTTTTGACAAATATATAAAGACATGTGTCCACCACTGGAGTGTCATACAGAGCAGTTTCACTGCCTTAAAGATCCCCTGGGGTCCTCCTACTCCTCACCACCCCACTCCCTCCCAGCCCTGGCTACCACTAATCTGTTTGCACTCTCCATGGTTTTGCCTTTTCCAGAAGGTCATACAGTTGAAATTATACTGTAGGTAATCGTTTCAGATTGGCTTATTCCATTTAGCAATATGCATTTAAGCTTCTCCATGTCTTTTTGTGGCCTGAGAGCTCATTTATTTTTAATGCTCAGTATATCCTGATGTATGGATGTATCACAATTCGTTTGTGCATTCACTTATTTGAAGGACATCGTGGTACTTCCAAGTTTGGGCAGTCATGAATAAGACTGCTGACATGAGTTTGCCTAGAAGTTCGACTGCTGCATCGGATGGTAAACCTGTGTTTAATTCTGTAAGAAACCGCCAGACTGTCTTCCAAAGGGTCTGTACCGTTTTGCACTCCCACCACAATGAATGAGAGTTCCTGTTGTTCCACGTCCACACTGGCCTTTGGTGTTGTCAGCGTTTGGATTTTAGCAGTTTTAATAAGTGTGCTGAGGTGTTGTTTTTTGTTAATCTTTATTTATGTAGTTTTGAGAAAGGGAGGGAGGAAGAGAGGGAGGGAGAGAGAGAGATCGATCGATTCAGATCCATCACGAGTGAAGGAGGGGCAGAGAGAAAGGGAAGATCCATCATGAGTGGACGAGGGGCAGAGGGAAACGGAAAGAGAGAACCCTGAGCACACTCCATGCTCAGCATGGAGCCCTGTGCCCATCGATCTCACAACCACCAGATTATGATCTGAGCTGATATCAAGAGTCAGACATTTAACTGAGATGCTCAGGCGCCCCAAGGTGTTTTTGATGGTGTCAGTAGCAATTAAGCTTGGAGAAAAATCAGCTAGCCACCAATAAGCAGCCTTCAATCAGACCCAATTACCTGAACTGAATGGTATATTTATATACCAACCATCTCTAAATCTGTCTAGCTTTGATCAGGCCTTTTTGGCAAAATGGGAAGAAGTGTTCGTTTGTTAATTTGTTTGAAATTATCTACATCCTTCAGGAATTGCTGAATTTACTAAATGAGCAACTTGTGTGCGATAGATAAATATATTTAAAAACCCTGAATTTGACAAAATTGCAAAGCTACTTATAGTTTCTGAGATAATTTAAAATAGTTCCATGAAATGCGAAAACATATTTTATCTGTATTCTAACTTTAAAGCTAAAATGGCATGCTAATCTACTATCTCATTTATTATCCCTGGCAAAATCATGGTAATAGTTTGTTTGGGACTCTTTCTGGTACAGACTATTTGTAACTTTCTATTTACATTAAATCATAAAGGGTAACTTCATAAATGAGTATCAATATGAGCTCTGAGTAAATCAGAGTTATTAATTTGTCTTTCTGGAAAGTCTACACAAAAAGGGGAAACATGGGAAAAAATATGAATGTTAAGAAGGCCCTATTCTTTTTCACACCCATCTGTTATGTATAATCTTCCTATATGGTCAGGGATGATGTTAGAAATAAACCACAGAAGAGGCCTGTAACTGTAACGTAACTTAGCTGATTTAATGAAAACTAAGCTTCCTCATTTATTGAGTGCCTATATTTCCTTCTACACCATGCTTGGAGCTGGGAGTACAAAACTAGCCGGCTCCCCACCCTTGAGTTTTCTCCCAGAAATTTCCTCGCAATGGCTACTCTTCTAAAACTTAGTCAAGGGGCGCCTGGGTGGCGCAGTCAGTTAAGCGTCCGGCTTCAGCCAGGTCACGATCTCGCGGTCCGTGAGTTCGAGCCCCGCGTCGGGCTCTGGGCTGATGGCTCAGAGCCTGGAGCCTGTTTCCGATTCTGTGTCTCCCTCTCTCTCTGCCCCTCGCCCGTTCATGCTCTGTCTCTCTCTGTCCCAAAAATAAATAAACGTTGAAAAAAAAAATTAAAAAAAAAAATAAAAATAAATAAAACTTAGTCAACAAGATCATTCTGTAATGTGTATGTGCACGATCTAATCTTACGTGGTTCATTTGAGAAGAATGAATGTTTGTCACAGTGGTTTGTATTTGAATTTCATGTTGGCACCTAGTTATTCCATGTCTGTTATTTATTTTAACCTCTTGGGAAATACAGGGAAAGCATAGTATGGTAGGTACTTGACAGAAATAGCATAGTGTATCCTTTAAAAAAAAAGAGCACCTCCCCACACATTTAAGCCTCTCTGTGTCTCAGTTTCCTCATCTAAAAACAAGGCTATTAAGAAGACCCATATTTTAGAATTTCTGTAAAAATAAAATAAATTAATAAATGTTTTAAAGTACTTCAAACAGTTTCTATCAGAAAGTAAGCTATATATACAAGCTATATAAACATGTTAGTTATTAGCTGCTGCCTATACAAGCTCTAGTGTGTTTCTTTTTCCCCACTGTCAAGCTCCTACAGTTCAACAAATGCCCTCTAATCAAAGTATTTGAGAGAGCATTCACTGATTCATTCACCCAGTCAACATAATTTTATGAGGGTTCGCTGTGTGCTGCAGATAAAACATAGCATATCCCCTAAGGAGCAGGAATAAAAAAATGCAGAAGCAATTAGCTATAGTGCAATGTGGTAGGTAATAAACATTCGTGAATTAGGACCAAACACTATGGAAGCAGAAAGTAGAGAGTGATTAATTCTGTAGAGCAAGACAGGGTATTATAGAGGAAGCAGTGTTAGTGCTGGCCTAAAAGATGTATAATAGGTTTTATACCTGAAACTACTAGAATATTGTATGTGAAATATACTTAGGTTAAAAAAAAAAAAAATGGATACAATGTCTGTAGGTCGGAGGTTCTCAAGCTTTACCAGGCATTAGAATCGCCTGTAAGTCCTGTTAAAATGGCTTACTAGGCTCTACCCCAGAGTTTTTGTTTTTGTTTTAAGTTTATTTTGAGAGAGGAAGAGAATGCATGTGGGAGCGGGGGAGGGGCAGAGAGAGAGAGGGAGAGAGAGAATCCCAAGCAGGCTCCACACTGTCAGCACAGAGCCTGACAAGGGGCTCAATCTCTCCAACTGTGAAATCATGACCTGAGCCAAAATCAAGACTCAGATGCTTAACCAGTTGAGGCCACCCAGGCGTCCCTACCTCCCAGAGCTTCTAAATCAACAGTTTGGGGGCTGGGGGCTGGGCTCCCTTGAAATTTTTTAGTCCTCACAAGTTTCCAGGTGATAGTGATGATGTTGTTTCGGGGAACACACTTTGAGAACCATATATTCAGGTAAAGAAAAGGAGTGGAGAAAGAGAAACTCTGCAAAAATAAAAGCAAGAGCAGAGGTAAGAATTCCTATGACAAAAGATATCCTTAGGATATCACTGCCTTATTTAAAACTCAAATTCAGTAGAAATGTGAACATCATTCCTGGTACTACTTTAGTTATACTGTAGATTAAAACAATGAATAATAGAGTCTCTCCTCCAAAATAATCCAAAGAAGGTAGTAAAACTAGAAAGAAAATCCAGTAATTGTCATATTCTAACCAATGACACGGCCTGGACTATCTGAATAATATTTAAAGCACTGACAGATTTAAAAGCAAAAAGCTAGTCAGTTAAGCGTCCGACTCCAGCCAGGTCACCATCTCGCGGTCCGTGAGTTCGAGCCCCGCGTCGGGCTCTGGGCTGATGGCTCAGAGCCTGGAGCCTGTTTCCGATTCTGTGTCTCCCTCTGTCTCTGCCCCTCCCCCGTTCATGCTCTGTCTCTCTCTGTCCCAAAAATAAATAAACGTTAAAAAAATAAATAAATAAATAAACCTTAAAAGCAAAAAGCTTAAGAAGGAGCACCCTGTTGGGGCGCCTGAGTGGCGCATTAGGTTAAGAGTCTCGCTCTTGATTTCGGCTCAGGTCATGATCTCACAGTTTGTGAGATGGAGCCATGCATTGGGCTCTGCACTGACAGCAAGGAAGCTGCTTGGGATTCTCTCTCTCCCTCTTGCTCTGCCCTCCCCTGCTCGCTTTCTCTCGGTCTCTCTCTCTGCGTGTCTCTCAAGATAAATAAACTTAAAAAAAAAAAAAGAGCACCCTATTTATTTTCTCTTCTGCTCTCCTCTTCTTCCCTCCCTTGTGTCCTTCTTCTGCATGAAATAATTACTTGCTGTATATACACTGCAATCTAGATCCTGGGAAATGAGGGGTCAATAAGACACGGTCCTTAATAGTCCTTAAGAGAAAGGAAAGACTTTATGTTGTCTTGATATCTAACAGATCTGTAGAGTAGAGCAGTTATAATCTGACATATGTATTTCAAAAAGCTTTGAAGATTTAACTGAAATGTAACCTTACCCATCTTCAAAATCTCTGAATGTAACCTCGCCGAATGAACTAGGTTTTAGAGCCTGTAAATAAGGTGCCTCCCTTCGGCTGGAGTCACAGAGCCCATTCAAAGTCCGACTGTAAGGGTGAGTTATGGTCTTTCTTCAGAGTATCTGAAACTCTCGACTGTAAATGATCCATGTATTTATTTGACAGATAATTACTGAACGTTTTCTCTGTGACATTCATGGAAATAGTCACAAATCAGTGAATACATGGGTTTGAAGTTCAGAGGAGAGGCTAGAAGTAGACACACTTGTAGCTATGATTATATAAAAGTTTATTGGAATCTTTGGTTTTAATACTCTTTCATGGGCAGATGGTGAGAGGAGAAGGGGCCGAGGATGAAGCCTTAACCAGCGAGGTACAGGATCCGCAGTAAAAGCCAAGCCGTAGATTGAGCAGAAGCAGCCAGGGTGATTAAGAAAAGCTGGGGGATGTGGTGAGAAAAAGCCAAAGGCAAGAGCGAGTTTCACAAGGTGGTCGAGTAAGATGAGCTCTAGAGAAGTCCCTTTGCTGTTGTTGCTGTTGTTGTAAGGATGTCACCTTTATTGAGAGCAGTTTCCGTGGGGTGAGTGGAAACCAGATCGGGGGATGCTCAGAGGTGTGGAGGATCCAGGATCAGCTGGAACGTGGAGGTAGAGTCAGTTCTTGAACAGTCTTGACTCTCAGAGAACAGATCAGGTTTTTCTGTGTTGTGGTTTTCATTTGTTTTGTTTTTCTTTGAAAGAGATTTGAATACCACTTAGATGCAGCTGGCAGGATAAAATAAGGGAGGGGTTGAGGAGACCCAGGAAGGAGGGGGGAGGTTAATGAGAAGGTCAAAGGTGAAGCCTTCAGGAAACAGGAAGCAGTCTTCGGCTTAGGGCGGAGGATGGTCTCATCTAAAATTGAAATACCTGAAGACCTGGGCTCATAGGGCATGTGTGGCAAAATAAGTAACCTAGTGTTCCAGCCCGTAGCAGGGGCACTAAAAATACTTGAAATCATAATGTGATTGAAAATACCCCCTCCTCTACATAAAGTTAGAATGTCAATATATTACATACTATTTATTTCTTGTTTTTTAATGGCTTTCAGAAATATAAGCTCCTTATTTTTGATTGAAGAGTGCCACTTATGGAGGGAGATTACCTCCAGGTTTTGACAATTCTTGGGCTCCGTTTTAGCCAAAGGTATCCTTGTAAAGGAGGGATGCACTCGTGTTCTCTAGCAAGGGTGTTTCTGATGTGTTTACCTGTGAGAAAAAAATCTCCAAGTAACTTCGTCTGTGAGGAGATCTTTGAGTCATGCTAGAGTAACCTAAAACATTTGTGTTTACTTATAAGAAGGAAAAAAAAAAGTTTTGTTTCATTTTATCATTTTTAAAAAGTGGTATGAAATAAAAAAGCAAAATTAAAAAAAACCTGATTTTTGATTTATCATAAGATCGAGAGCTAACAGGATTTAAGTGGGTCGTTCCCTCAGGGCTCTGGCTCGAGCATTTCTATTTTTAAACTCTCCAAAACAAATTGTAATATAAAAAGACTCCCAAGAAGAGTGTACAGCTCTTTCTTTTTTCTAAATAAAGCAAAAATGATCAAATTAAGCTTGTTTATTACATTACCTTCTCTGAAAAGAATTAGAACTGATCATTACACCCTTTTAAGTACCCCTGTCCCAATTTTTGTTTAATATCTTGGACTTTTTCCTCTTGGGGACATGGAGATACAATATCTCATAAAAGTATATCATCGAAAAAATTGGAAAGGAGTTGAGTACTTTGATAAATTAATGATTTTTGAAAGTTTCACATTACCTGAAATGACTGAATCACAATTAAAAAGTGAATATAATTATGTACAGTGTAATCATGTATGGAAAATGGTTAGAGACAATCTATTCATACTCTAAAAAGGAATGGTTGGCATTTCATGAAATCTTCACAGTGAAATTTTAATTGGAAACAGCTTATAATTTTTAGGTGTTAAATCTCAATTCTCATGTTACTTATCAATGTAATTTTATATTTTTAAATCTGATAAATTGGGGCTCAAAAAGTCTTTAAATGACGCATAAGAACAAATGTTCAAAAACAAAGGTGAATACAAAGTAAACTAAATGAGGGAAACAAAACAATAAAAAACCCAAATAAATATTAAAACTTTAAAATTAAAAATAACTGTATCATATTCTCTCTCTCCTTCCCTCTCTCAAAATAAATAAATAAATAAGCATTAAAAAAATGGTGCCATAAAACGTGAAGTGAGATGAAAAAGTCCTTTCTCGTTCACTGAGAATAAAACCACAGTGGGACCATTCTAGCTAAGCTTTGGGAGATGTTGTGAAACGGTAAGAGCTACTGTCTGTTAATTTATTCATCTCTTATGGGCAAGAGGCTTTATAAACATCGTTGCTGATTTTCAAGGTAACTCTTCAATGGAAGGTGTTATTTTTTTCATTTGATGGAAGAATAAACTTTTAGTTCAGAAAGATTTGAGGGACGCCTGGCTGGCTCAGGCAGTTAAGCATCTGACTTTGGCTCAGGTCATGATCTCACGGTCCGTGAGTTCGAGCCCCGAGTGGGGCTCTGTGCTGACAGCTCGGAGCCTGGAGCCTGCTTTGGATTCTGTGTCTCCCACTCTCTGCCCTTCCCCTGCTTGTACTCTGTGCTTGGTTGCTCACACTTGAGCTCGCTCACACACGGTCTCTCTCTCTCTCTCTCTCTCTCCCTCCCTCCCTCCCTCCCTCTCAAAAATAAATAAACATTAAAAAAATGAAATAAAGGTGGAGCTGTGGTTGAATAGCAACCTTTAGCAAAGATTTTAACAATGTTTCTGATACCTATTTAAATCCTGACCCTCCTATAAAATGCTAGCCTTTTACCACACCCCTATGTAAATAGATAAGGTTTCTCAAAGCCAAAGTAAGTAGGCTTAGAGGTTTAGATGCCCCTCAGACCTTCTTACCTTCCCTCAGAAGGAGGCGATCAGGATCTTAGCACTCTCAGAAATTCATTCCCAGATGTTTGGGATTTTCCCCTCTTAACAAATAGAAAAACAGATGAAGTATAATGGAAAATACAGAAATCAAGGTTTAAGATGGGATAAAAGACACAAGACATCCTGGGGGGAGAGAGAAAGGCAAAAATCAAAGAGGGAAAACAAAAACAGAAGATGAATAAGCACAAATCGTGCTTATACATTAGTTTTGCCTGCTTTAGGAAAATCGGATGTTTAATGCCCTTGTAGATAATTTGAGATTATGTAACGGAGCTAATAGACTTTTAAAATGATGGCCATCATTGGAGTGCCTGGATGGCTCGGTTGGTTAAGAGACAGACTCTTGGTTTCAGCTCAGGTCATAATCTCAGGGTTTGTGAGTTCAGGCTCGAGTTGGGCTGCTTGGGATTCTCTTCTCATTTCCTCTCTCTCTCTCTGCCCCTCCCCTCCTTGCACTTTCTCTCTCTCTCTCAAAATAAATGAATAAACATTAAATTTTTTAATAAAATAAAATGATATCCATTGTTATTACCATCAACATTATTGTATTTGAGCATCTGTAGGTTGTTTTAAGTTGAGATTCCAGGTTACTTTGTGATGCTCTGTCTCCATTTAAAGCAATTAATTTTTGTCTCCATTTACAGCAATTAATTTTTTAATTGGTTACAAATAAAATTGGTGCTTTTTTTGTTTGTTTCCAAGGAAATCCTGGACCCAAAGGCCAGAAGGGGGAAAAAGGGAGCGGAAGCATGCTAAGTAAGTTTATGGTTCATTGTTTTTATGTGTGCCTTGTAATAAATAAGCTTGTGATGATAGTGGTCTGGGCTCGAGGCAAATATTGGGAACTTCAGTATTGAGCCGTAGAGATTCTTTGCAAGCCAGCCACAGTGTTCTACAAATAAAGCTTGCTAATTGGAGTAAAACAAATAGATTAAATTATACAACTCTAAGTTTCATTACCCATTACCCATTTGTATTTTGTTTTCTTGAGGAGCACAGTTTTCTAAAAGTTCCACATAGAAAACTGTTCACTTTTCAAGCCACTTTCAATCTGCTGAAGGAAAACCAAGTTTATGAATAGAAACAATTATAGCCTCCTTGCCTACTGAGTAAACTTACTGAAAGGCTACCTATAGGAATTTGGACAATCTGACAACCCTGACCCATCAATTCCCTGAAGGCTGGGGTTTTTGTGTTTTGTTTTGCATCGCTAAAAACTTGAAAGGTTGCGTTCTACGTCACAACCTCAACAGAACAGATTTCACACTGGGATCCCTTTTGATAGGATTGTTAGAGGAGATGTCTTCAACATACCAGGCTGTAAGTCAGTTGAGTGTCTGGGCTGCGTCCACACGGATCCAGTGATCCAGTGAAAGGATTATGAAAAGGGATTGAGGGACCCTCCCCTGCATCCCCAGTAGGACCTGTGTGTGCTGTGACTCTGGGAGTAGCCGCTCCGAGCGCACACACACACATAATCTCTACCCAACCAGGGTCTGTTTTAGATAGATTACGGCTAATCCTTTAATGTACCAAAACTCTAGCACTTTTCAGTCATAGTTATTTTAAAAACGTAGTACCAATTTCTCTGCCTTAGAGCAGAAGGAATTATTTTCACCTGTACCGTGCACGGATGCCACACTTAGATAACTGAGGGTCGGCACTGTGAATGCCAGCCACTAAAGCATCACGTAGCTACAGGATGCTTTTCACAGTTGTTGCACTGTTGATCCCGTTGCTCCTAAACTGAACAACATTTAGTAGTGTGTGCCTCCCCCACGAGCTTTGGCGTCGCTCGGTGATTATTAGCGCTGCTGTTATTACATTAAGATATGGAAACATTAGTATGCATTTTCTCCTGCGTGTTCATTACTTCTGGAATGTGATCACTTCTGACAGCTGGAACACTTTTTTTTTTTTTTTTTTTTTTTTAATCCCACTTACCTTCCGTGCTCTGTGTCTCTCCAGTTATTTTCACTTAAGCTCTTCGTAACTCTTTTCCCTATCTTCCTGTTGATCTCTGTCTTTATCTCTGCCTTTATCTCTGGTTCTTTTTTTTTTTTTTTAATCTCTTTTGCTCCCGTTCCTGAGACTTTTCTGAGCCACTTAACCTTGACTCTGGGGAAGTTTGGCAAGTAAAGAACTTCTCTGTTTTGCAGTCTATACACTGAACACCCACACTGCCTTCTGTTACCTGGGGTTACCAACGCTTTGAACATGTTTTTCAGATACGTTCAGAGATGTTTCACTTACAGGTATTTTCATGGCTGTTTTGAACTTAAGTGCACACTTGCTTTGTGAAAGCAATGATAGAGACATTTCTGTGTACAAGTGTTTATGATCTGCAGACTTCCCTCCATGCACTCCCCCCGCCCCACAGAGAGTATGTGTAACTCCATAATGTTTCTAAAAGAGAGAAAAAAATCATATGCACAGACATCTATACAGTATGTTCTTCTTTTTCCTCACTTAAGTCAATATGTCAGTCATCTGCCCATGTCGGTCCATGTGACTTTAGCTCTTTTTTCTCGACCACTCTGCATTGTTCCATTATATAGCTATGCCACAGTGACTATAGTATTCTATCCCCTAGTCAGGAGCACTTGATGATTTCTTGCTTGCCATGGTTTGGCTTTATTAAGCAATGCCACATTTAGCAGTCTCGTACATGATCTTGTGGAAATACTCTGTAATAGACTATTTGCTAGAAGTAGAATCAATAGTCCAAAGGTGGCTTGCAGTTTACAATGTGATGGTTTCTTGTAAATGGCTCCAAAAAGGTTGGACCAATTTATTCTGCATGTAATTGCCTGATTCCCCACATCTTCAGTTACTTCTGATAAATAAAACTTTATATGAAATTATTTTAACAAATACATTTAATATTTTTTTAGGCATGATTTAAATATAAAAGGAGTAATCACTGATTTCCTCTTTTGTACATTTGTCAGGACCAGTGCAACTCCCGGATCATATTTGGGCAGGGCCCTTTTAAGATCAGGCAGGTTGGGCAAGACACCCTCTGCTACCATCTCATTAAAAGGCCCCTCACCTCCGGACAAATCATCCGCACAACTGACTCCAAGATCCCTTTGTGGCTCCTTCAAATGACTCTGGTTCCTGTGTCGTATCCAGCTTCCACATGGCTTTCTCTCCAGGTCTTTTGTGCTGTTTGGACCTCTGTTCCTATGCTCAGACCTCTTCCCACTCTAGTAACCCACCATCACCACCATCTGCTGGCACCCTTAGCTGGGTCATCTCCCATGTACTGACTGGCAAGCTGCTCCTACCAGTTCTCAGAGCAAGAGCAGGAGCCCTCTGCTCCCCACTCATCTGATGTCTTACTGAACCCAATTTAACCCACTGGGTTCTAGGAGACATCTCATGGATATTGATTATATATGGGTTCTTTACATTCAAAAACAATACTCTCAATAAGTGATAGGGATAACATAAAAGAAAATTCGTTCATTCGTTCATTCACTCTGCACATGTTCATTGTGTGCCTCCTGTAGCTGAACATAACAGCTAATAAGATAACAATTGTCTCTGGCCCTCATAGAGCTAATAGTCCCTGAAAGCCTAGACATGGAAACAGGTGATTATACAATACAACAGAGCTATACTGGGGGAGGAACAGGGCTCTACAGGTGTTCAGAGGAGATCAAGATTATTAAATTCTTTAAAATATTAAAAATATTGGGGCGCCTGGGTGGCGCAGTCGGTTGAGCGTCCGACTTCAGCCAGGTCACGATCTCGCGGTCCGTGAGTTCGAGCCCCGCGTCGGGCTCTGGGCTGATGGCTCAGAGCCTGGAGCCTGTTTCAGATTCTGTGTCTCCCTCTCTCTCTGCCCCTCCCCCCGTTCATGCTCTGTCTCTCTCTGTCCCAAAAAATAAATAAATGTTGAAAAAAAAAATTAAAATATTAAAAATATTGATTTTGATTAGCTTAGTTTACCTTCTTATCTGCTTACTCTACAAATTATACCACCCCTCCCCCCCCCCTTTTTCCCAAAGTTTATAGTGAGGTAAAGTAGAGCTTGAACAGTTCATTCAACACATTTAGACCAAAACACAGAACTTACTTCCTTCAATTACCTGGCAATTTCAAGCAAGTATTTTGATCGTGAAAAAATAATGCTGAAGTTTTCTATTGCCAAAAGCTCTTTTGTATTTTACGCTTTAAGTATCTAGTATAGATCCTGAAGATAAAGAAATATTTCCATAGAACTGGAAATATTTTCTGTAGGTGAACAAAGGGATAAAAAAGAGAAAGGGGAAAGAAAAAATAAGAAAAGGCAGACCGAAACAAGGAATAGGAAAAATATAGGCTATCATGTTGTTTTTGAAGTTCTTTCTGTTTATTAGCAGGTGACGTTTTCACACCTCTCATTTTCGTCACGGTTTACAAATAGTCGCAGGCGTCCCAGTCTTGAATTTCTGGTAGAATTTGACCGTGTCCGTGTGTCCCTCAGCCCTTCCATTCCCTCTCCTGGGAAAAGCGTTTCATGACACCTACCTCACAGGGTTGTTGTGAGGGTCACGTGAGATACTGTGTGTGTGAAGATGCCCTGTAAAATCATAAAGTGCTTTAAACACACAAGGTCTGCTTCGCCGTGGTCTCTCTGAACCGGAATTGCTGTTCCGTGCCGGGATCATGCAGACATTTAAAACCGGTCCTGAGGATAGGAGCGAAAGCAAAATGAAAATGTAAGAATCCAAGTAAATGTCACGGACAAAAAGAGAGAGATGCTAGAGAGGAAGATGAGATTTTACGCGAGACAGAGGAATGAAAGTGTGACCAGATCACAAATCACTGAGTTTGTCTGGGCCGAGCAGAAGAGCGTAAGTTGTAAATAAAAGAAGTGACTAAACGGAGTGTGTGCCAGAGGCCAGAAGCTGTCAACAGAGGTCCGAACAAAATGTCAGTCTAATAAAACAAGAGAGTCCGGGCTCTGAAGGACGAAGCGTGAGCCCAAGACTCTGCTGATGAGAAAGCTCCAAGAAGGGTTGAAACAAATTAGAGTTGTCTATGGTCCTCTGGGTCTGCCCCTAATGACACCAGAGTCTCCAAGAATAAAAACAAAAAAGAGGAGGGGGAGGAATCAGCCAGTCTCGAGATGGTCCTTAGTGTTAGAAGACTGTCCATGTCGACTAGCCAGTTAATGCAAACACCGGGGGGGGGGGAGTTGAAGCTCTTTGTCCGGGGTTGAATTAGGTGTCACTTGCTACCCCACTCTGTACTGGGGGCCAACTAGAACCTGGGAACCCGTCTTCCCTTGCCATCGGGCTGTGGTCCACACTGGCCACAGAATGACCCTGATCCCAGAGATCGTGGCAGATAATTGCAGGGCACTCCATTCACAGGTTGCTTGACACCCCAAAGCGCAAGTAGATGCTAGGTGTGTGAAATACTGATCCAGACTTTGCAAATTAGGGGAGAAGGATTTCTCTTTTCTCCTTAGACAAAAATAGATCTGAATGCCCAGCTCAGATGCACAAATTATACCACCCTGAGTAATGTGCGAGGAAGAGACAGAAATCTGCCTTGAGCTCTCCTGCTTATCACAAGGATTCCTCTGTTCTGTTCTCGCCTGACGTGGAAGTGTGTTTCAGTCAAGCAAAAACAATTCCTACTATACAATTAAACGCTTCGTGTGAGGCTCTGTCCTAAACACACCGATGACCAATGTGTTTTTTTCAGTATTTTTTACTGTGCTTTATTCATGCCCAATGAGACTGTAATTAGAATGTGAA